AAAACTTAGTCTCCAACTACCATCAACAATTAAGCTAACTTAATTTTGAACAGTGGAATGGCATTAAAGCAATTTAAGTGGTAGAAACATACAAAAGAAAAATAACTTTTAATACATGGTCATATTTATAGCAACTTCCTGAAAACTATAATGTATATTAGTCATATTTTAAGTGTTATACACAAAACATTTCTAAATATGCTTATAGCAAGAGGCTGAACTCTAAAGCATGATTTTCTGACAGACAAGATTTCTAAAGCAAAAACATATATTGCTCTAAGCACTAAATTGGAATTAGTAATGAATTCCTCTATACATTACTATGGCTAGGCAGTTAGTTTTTCACTAAATCAAAGAAGCTATGCAGAGCAAAATTCTTTTAGTAATGCAATTTTATTTGAGAGAACAGCTACAGCACAGCAAACAACGGTCATTTCTACAGCACCTCCGGATTCATTTTCTCTTCTAAAGGTCATTTGTCCTCCTCACTGATATCTTAATACAACTGAAAGCATCCAGCCATTAATTGTTAGAAGACACCAACTGATACAAAATTGGATAGACAGTAGTATCACCAGGCATTAAAGAGATTTCCTTATCATTCATCTCTAATACTAAGGAACCAACAAACTACTACCTGCCACTTACAGGTCAAGAGAAAAATCCGATGGTGCTACCATGATCTTGTAATGTGAATTTTATAAAACCAATAGTACACATGTTTGGTATCACCACAGATTGAACAAAATTGAAGTTTTCTTTTTTTCAAATAAGTAGTATGCACATTGTCCACTGTGCATAAATATACTACATTAAGAACAACAGTAGCAGACTAACATATAGGAAATTAACAAGCTACTTTCTCTGACTAAAAAGGGTTGTTGCAGGGCAGGAGGGAGTTGGTTTTGTTTTTTAACTTTAAGTCTGCAGTGTTTGCATATCCAGTGGTACAGGAACTTTATCTACCAATGCTGTCAACTGAGACACTCCCTTTACTGAAGCAAAAGATTGCTCCAACCCTGACCTCTTCCTTCAGCTTAGTTTGGAAAGGGGCCAGATGACAGCATTTGGAAGAGTGCATTTTTATCACTGCAAGGACAGCTGCCCAGAGGAAATAAATATAATTTAAAGTATTATCCATTCTCACTGTCATCCTTGTTGACTTTTCAGAACTAGAATTGAAAGTATAACATTTCCAGATCACTGTTTTAATAGCTAGATTTCTCATTAATGAAAAAGAGAGTCTGTAATGTTAATAATAGACTTTAGGTGTTTTGAGTATCTTGAATATTCATCTATAAGCAGCTTACAGGGATGGCTATTTTCTCTAAAAGAAAGCAAATAAGGAAATTAATTTGTCTGTATGAAAAGCACAATTTGATTATAATTCTAAGCAACCAAGATTTTCAAAAATTAGACCTCCAAATGCCATGTGTTATTTCTAGATAAAATACAGAGTTTACAAAGCAGTCTAACTGAAATGTCTTAAATTCAATTTACATTTAATATCAAATTATTTCAAGAGATTTAAATAATCTGTAGTTCATGGTGGGAAAAGTTTTAGTCTCACCCTGTTATTGAGCTTCACTTTCGTTTCACAACCCATTAAACAACCACATTGTGTCAATACAAACAATCTTCAAATTGAGCCTAGCAATCATGCTTTTCTCAAACTCATCTTAACTACATGGAAGAACTTATCAAGATCATATACATAATTATCAAAATATAAAAACCAAAAGGAAAATAGGAAAATATTTTACTATTTCAACAAAAGGATCATAAATTCCACCAAAAGCATGCTTTAGCTGTTAGGAGTAAGGAAAAATCTTCTCAGAAGATTAGCGAGATCTCTACCTCTTCTTTCCCTCTTCCTAGCAAGTGCCAAGAGGCTTATTGAAAGATGATGTACACATTTCCATTCACACAGCTCAGCAGACAATTATGGAAAGGGGACAAATCCCCTCTAGAAAGTTTGAAAAGGATGGAGCTTTAAATTAGCAAATACTTTCCAAGAAGGAGACCCCCCACCAAAATCAAGCACCCTGCCAGAAATTCCATTGCTCTCCCTTTCCAGCAACTAGGAAACTTTGTTGGGACTAGGTTTCTCACCAGGACAGTGCATGTGGACTAGACTAAAAGTCTTCTCCAGTGTCCTTCAACTCTTCATCTAGCTAATGTGTAGTATTCTGTCTGGTAAGTGGAAAAACAACAAATAGTCTTGCAGGACCTTAAAGACTAACAAAACATGTAGATGGTATTTTGTTATTCTTTAAGGTCCTGGAAGACCTTTTCTTACATTTTTCCAGTTACAGACTAACTCTACTACTCCTCGGAAGCTGTCTGGTAAATGTTTGGTTCAATAGCCAAGATACATATCAGACAACCTCCTAATCACAAAAGAATCTCTACAACAAATCTACAGACACCAAGTGAACATGGTAAAGGACCCCATCACCCATTTTACTCATTAATTAAAAATGTTAAGCTGTCCACTTACACATTAACAATATTTGTCAATACATACTCTACTTCTTTGCACAATAACTAGCTATAACTGCAACAATCAAATGTATGCGATAACACCTGAAAAAAAAATTCTGAATAGCAGAGTCATTTTGCATCAACAAATCTGGCTTATGACACTACTTAGATTAGTCTTATTTGTCCAAAGAAACAACTATATCATACTTCTGGCGCCACCCAAAACAGTCTATCATTTATGTTTTAACCTTGCCCTGGAGGGACTGCCTCAAAGCCCTCCTTACCCATTCATTCATTGGCCAATATAACAGTTATTTTTGGGATGCAAGTATCTGTTCATCAGGAACTGAATTGAGACCACTCTCATTTGACAGCTATTCCCACACCTGCCTTGTCTGCCTAACAATGGTCAGACGATCTCATAAATTAGCAGCCTTAACGGAATTTAATGTGATCCCAGAGTGACTAATTTTTCGTCTTTCAAGTTAACTTCAATATTGGATATTTACTTTTTGGAAGCCAAACTGCCTGAATTTAGAAGTTAAGAAACTTGACTATAAAAATATGGATATCCAATAACCGTGTCAACTTTATTTTTTCGTAAAACAGTGGATGTAGGAATACCTACCACCAACCTCAACTATTTATACATAAGTTACCGTTAAGGGGGAAGAGTAACTTTGGAAAGATTTTATAAGAGGTAGGAGATGACAAAGTAATATTACTTGATGAGCAACTTTCAGTAATACTTGTCAGCACACCATTTTGAAATCACAATTCATGGATGAAAGTGGTTGTTCAAATGGAGGCTTATTAGATTTTAAAAATCACAATTAATGGGTAAGGGGAAAAAATTGGGAATTTGAGAAATTATGATAAGTTGTATCCATTACTATCCCACCTAGCACCCCTCACACATTTCTGAGAAAAGCAACAGATACATTTTTTCTGTATCACCCCAGTGATTTCTTAAACAATCCAGTATGATGTACAACAGCAACCAAAAACCAAAGGTTATCTCTGACTGACCTCATAACAAGGAAATATTTAATGTTAAGGATTTTAAAGTCGGTCATTTGAATAACTGTATCCAATAACAGATGCTGTCTTGTTCATTATTCTTAGTACACCAATAGTCATCTTATTTTAAGATATAGAACCAACTAAACCACTATTAGCAGCAATTATTGAGTTTTAACTAGCTTAATTAGTCCAATGGTGAAATTAAGTTTCAGTCTGGATTCCACTGAATATAAAATCAAATTAGTTTAAGATACAAGGAAAAAATATTTCCTCAATTTGTTTATAAGCAAAAATGGCCATGCTGTCTTCAAGAACACAAATCAAAGTTGGAAATTATATAAACTGAATATATGCAGTGCAATATTTTCGACAACAAAAACAAGTCTATATTGAAGCAGAGAATAAAGTTAATCCTAGAACCACATCAAAGTATCACTTAGCTAGATAATGGCACTCCTAAAGAAACTAAATACTGAAATTAAAAATATATAATTTAAGACAACAAAACTATATTAAATTATTTTATGAGGCATACACTAGTTCATATTCTCATTTGTATATTTCAATGGGTCTCATGACTGGACCTTCTACTAATGTGCAATTACAGAATAAGGGAGGAGATTACCCTTCCACACAAACTTGCAAAATTAAACAAAGAGGATTCAAATACCTTTAATACATTCCCACTGTCTCTTGATATCCAAGGATAAACAACTGAACACTCAACCATAACACCACTGTTTTTGTTCCTGACTGATGCTCTTACTGAAGCTAATAAGAATAATTTGGCTTCATGAAAATATGAAAAAATAAGCTCACATATCTAGTATTCAGAGACTAAATTATGGTGGTTACCATAATTTAATTGTATTGAAAAGACAGGGATCTAAAGAGCTCTTGCCATTTAACTGAAGCTGATCAAGTATGACGTTCAAGTTTCACCGACCTGGTTATGATCAAAAGCAGTCCTGGTGACCTCGCTTTATAATAGAGCTAATTATTTTATATTAGTGTACAAACACCACACATCAACTCACAGGTACATTATCAATTATTAAAAAGCAAACTCATAAGGCTCTTCCTGTAAACCTAGAAATGTTTAACTTCTATATATGAGACTTCAATTAAAGTAATACAGGTGACAAAAATTAGGCATGTGTAAAAAAAAAAAAAAAAAAGAGTCAGTATATGGAAATACCAAGTTTTTATTTATAAAGGTCTATTTTTCAACAAATATAATTTAGTGTTAAAATATATCTTAAAATAACTTAGAATAGTTTGTGTGGAAGTACCTTACAGTATTTGTTCCAGTGGCCCCATAATAAAAGAAAACTATAAGTACTATTTAAAAACACTATAACTGTTTTTTGAAAAATCCTGCCCTCCACTCCAGAGGGGAAAGTGTGACATGTACTAACGCAATGACTGAACAGGTATTTTTCAGCTCCTACTTCTACTGTTTGCAGATCAATATAAAACAATCACCCCCTTACCGTTTCTTCTTTTCCTTCAGGGGCTCTTTGGCAGCTTTCGACTCAGTCTCTCTGTAATGAAACAAGTGAATATTTCGTCTACCTTGTAGAGGTCTCTCTGACGTGCTTCTTGCTTATTTTAACGCCTTAAAAAAATACCCGTAAATTCACGACTCTGAATACGAAAAAAAAAATTCAATTCCCCCCTCCAACTAAAACAAAAAAACAACTCCCCCCACAACCTGCCACAGAAGAGAAGAAAAACAAGTCGACAAGAAAACAGTATCCAAGCAGAAGAGCAGAGGTTCGGTGTTATCCAGTCCCAGTGCAGGAGAAACAGGTTCAATTCCAAAACAAGCTTTAGCTTTCCAGTGGAGAAAGAAAGGAAGGAAAAGAATGTCCCTAGCTAGACTTTTGCACACGAATTCTTTTTTAAATACACGTTTGCTTTCGAGCAACAACAAAAACCCACGAAATTCACGATGTGAAGCGGATGGGGAGAGTTTATTTTTTGTGTTGATGGATTCTCAGTCCAGATGGAGGAGCATCTGAGTGTTCAAAAAGTGCAAATTAAAAGGAAAAGGGGGATCCCACAAACGAGCTGAAAGAGTCCCCCCTCCAAAAATGGAGCCACAGCCGGGGATCCAAGAGTAGGAACCCAGTGAGGAGGAGGATCCAATGAAGTCTCTCTCGCAAGGGGTCCTACAATGGGGGGCGGGGGTAGAGAAAGAGATCCAGCAGTCTCTCTTGCGGTGCTCCAAGCAGGAGGATCCAGCAGTGTCTCTCTCACAGGGGGATCCAATGGGGCCAGCAGAGCGTCTCACGTAGAATCCCGAGGAGAGGGACGATCCAGCGGGCTCTGCCGCAGAGACTCTCAGTGGGGCACAGGGGGTTCCCAGGAGTCTCGCGCCCCGGGGGGGGCAGGAGGCTGAAGGAGGCAGCAAAGTCTCCCAGGGGCTGCTGCAGCGCCTCTCAGGCTCTGT